CATTTTACCATGTAAATTCAATAAATACAAGTAAAATATATGCAAACCAAAATTCTTTTTTCAAAATTTTGAGTGGGAACACTAGGGTCAGCAGTCATAATTTACATATGTTCACTAAGGGAGGATTGTGAGGATTATCCCAGCAGGGAATAATTTTCCCGGTATTGCATCCGCAATTCGCGATGCATTTTTTACCTACTTGTGACGCGTAAGTATTTATGTATCGCACGCATAAATACGCAAGAACTCCCACTCTTTTTAGTATGTGTTAGAGCCATCCGCACGACGAGTACATTACGGCCCGTATAGGGCAACGTTTTCAAAATATATTCGAACAATAGCTTGTACCGATATTAATGTCATACACATATTCTCAACGCAACCCAACCGCATAAATACATGTACGGAAGATAAAACGCTTTCTCATCCGATGAAGACGGGATACTAGAGAAGCCGTTGCTGACCTATCCGTGAAAGCCTTGCCTCAGACCCACCACCCCTACCACACTGGACGTCAATCAAGAGCTGCGCCCATTGCTCATCATTACACAATTGAGTCACGAAATCAGTGATTTAAATAATATTTTATGGCAATGTATAGCAGATCATGTAACAATCCCAGGAGTATCATAATATAGACATACGTAGTCTATATTATGACACTCCTGATAATACTATGTCATTCCATTGGTTCCCGCAGAATCCTAATGGAACAAAATTCTATTGGCTCTCATTTTTCTATTCCTGGGGCATGAAGTCCAAGGGGAGTCCTATCATCAATGATTAACTTTCACCCCTGGCTTAATATCCTCCGAATGGATTCTAGAGTAGAAGTCCAATCATCAGTCTTTGATCATCATCGAGTAATTTAGGTCTGGTGCTATACTATTGGTGCGAAAATTAACAATTATTTTTGTTTCATGTGAGTCAGCATCCTTTAGAGGCAGACCTCTAAGAGGACAAGATGTCAGACTACCAAATGGTTACACAGGTATGCTTACATTACCGATGTATATTTACTACTGAAATATCTTCAGAGACCGTGTGTTTGTGTTTGTGTGTACGTGCAATTTTTATGACAGCATAGACAGTCTGCGATAGCTAAAACAATATAATGTGAAAATTAAGTATATTAATGTGATGGTTTTGCTGGTGAGTTTTGATTGATATCATAGCCTTTTAAAAGGTAAATGTTCATTGAGTGTACAGTCATAAAATGATATATTTTCAGTAAATGAATCACCATGGCATTGCAAAGAATTTTGAATTTTGGTCTGTAGAGCTGAGCCGAGAATATTAACTGTTTCATAGTATTATAGGTATTCACAAAATTCCTTTCTCCTCAGAAGTAAGTTGTTTCAGTTCTTTCTTTTCTCTCTTTCCTAATAATTAGAGACAGCTATAGCCACATGTTATCCACCATCTTCCGTATCAGTAACTGTCTTGCATGCTGTTACTGGGATGGCATTCCCTGAAAGTGAAACCACCCTACTTTACTTTACTTTACCTTTAGCTGCAGGTAAATTGCTGCGCTGCTTAGTCGATTACATGGTCCAAACATACAGTACTTGTAAACTGTATAATATGTGGAAGTTCCGGGACTTTTTGTTCTCTCTACTCACTCTTCTTTTTGCTGTTAATTGTAGGCATATGTCTCCGAGAAGCCACACCAGTTTATGCTGAGGGCAGTGAAGACAAGGTGCATCGTCGTTTTCACATCACTGGAGAATTTAGTCAGTTCACCTACTGGAATCTTGACAAGGAAACTACGGACGACGATGCTGTCATCAAGGCTCTTAATTGGGTTGAACTTGCATCCGTGGCAAGTATTTATGCTAATAAATGCTAAAATGCCATTTCATGTTAAAATGATGGCAGTACAACGTGAAACATTTTGTGATGCGATTAGTTTATGATGCTCGAAAATTAATATTAAAGGCGATTTGTTAGACTTAACATATTTCACAATATAATAGTATGCTGTAGACCTCACATAATGAGGAATCACTTAGTTATAAACGTAGTAGGTTTTATCCAAATTAATTAGGAAGTAGTTTTATTCCAGTATAAAACAAGATACTTTAAAATTCATTGAGTTTTTAAGTAGTCAAATCAAATTCCACTAATTTCCGTGCCTGTGCAGACCCTGCCTATTACCTCAAAAGATATATAAACGCACCTGTAATGAGGTCCAAAACTTTAGACCCTGTTGCCTGCGTTATATTAGGTTTACACTGTATAAGGAAAAAATATGCAATGAACATTGTGTGAAACGATATTTACTTACATTTCTATACCTTTAACAGATACATGCCCCATTGGATTGTTCATTGAAGGATGGGTGTTCACAGCCAAATACAACAAAGAAATCTTCCTGTGTTTAATATCACTGATGCAAACACTTAGGATGCTACATATCCAAAACCAGAATAGTCTTAAATGTTAGTGTTCCTTTATTGTTTATAAACACTTTTAACAAAATATATATGCTACGACATATGGATACTAATGCTATTAACTGGCATTCAATTTTTCTCATAGACCATTGACAGAAACATGTTAAAAAGTTATGACTTTCTCATATATGCAGTGTATATAGAGGTCCAGTATATGAGAAAAAGGCTAAAGAAATGTATATGAGAAAAGACTAATGTTAAAAGGCTAATTTTGTTTCTGACAATGGGCCCTTGGTCCTTCAAGTGAATTAGTGAATTTGAATATTGAATAACTGAAATATTGTCGCTAACGAATATGTTTTGTACCCAATCTCATATCTTATGACAGCAATCATTTCCTTGTCTATCTCACAGAGATACAATTTCACAGTGGATGTGAGATGCTACGTACATGACTGGAAGTGAATGGGAGTGGTTCATTCTGATTGGCTGATAGTAATCACATGAGCACATCGGATCTTTACTCGTTGAGCGAGAGGCTCTTCGCAATGAATAATGTGAATCATCAAATAATTGTTTATTTTTCATAAGGCAGGGTTCTCAATAAATTTATAGAAATAATTCAAGCATTATATTGATTTATTCTGTATGTAGTTTTTATTGCTTATATTAACACTGTTTTATCATTGTAGTTTCATTTTCATTGTGGCAAGACGTGCTAAGGACAAACATCTTACAAACAAATTCACAAATTTTTCTGGCCACTCATTTTTGCTTACAAAATTTTAGGATGTGTATGTCATCACTTCTGAATACAGGGTCCATTTCAGAACTTGGTAGCTTGGTCATATTGAACACCTTTTCCATACCGGCACGGAAATACTCCTGGAGTTCTGTTTTGTTACCTATCTCTCGATCCTCATAGGCACAGTAAACAACCGTGTTCTCATCAGCTAATTCACACACTGTCTGCAGGAGCTGATCGATCGATGCTCGGTAGTATACGCAGTCGGCGAGCAAGAGTACGTCAACAGGATCAAACTGCGAAACATCACAGCCCCATTGTAGTTCTCTAGCACGGATCTGACCTCGGAAGAGGTGGCAGTTCCGTTTGATGTTGCATTGCATGAGCGGGACAAAGGTTGCTAGATCGGTGATAGTGACACAGGTGTCTTGGTGGCATGCAGCCTCTATCCCGACGACTCCCGTCCCCGATCCCAGCTCCAAGATGTTTTTGCCAGCGAGTAACGAGGTTTTGTCTCCGTTTAGACTGTCACTGCGGGTCTGCTTCTCTAGGTATTTGACAAGCACTAAAGCTGCATCCCAGACTACAGAGCCAACGTCACCCTCCTCTAGCTGGTGTATGTGCAGAGTAGAGCCATCATTCCTTTCTATCTCTCGGATGAACGTTTTGCTCGGCTCTAGTGTCATTGATTCTGCCAGTGATCTATCTACATGCAATCAATCCTACACAAAAGGGAAAAATTATAATTAAACAAGAGACTAGAGAGTCTAGAGAGTGTCTAGAGCAACCAGGGACTAATCTAGCTGCTTAATATGGGCACCCATGGCAAGAGTAGCGAGCGTAAAAAAAGATTTTTGGGACCGAGGACGTTTTTTGTTTTTCATTAATTTAAAAGCAGAAGGATTGCAATAGCTTATAAACGACATATAGTTTCAGTTATAATATGGATAAATTTGTCCTAAAATGAATATCGTTCGGTTAAATAGCATTTAGGCAAGGCTCGACACTAGCGGTGGCCCGGGGCCACCAAAACTTGATGTCGGGCCACCAAAATTTCAAAAAGTTAAAAAATTGGTGGCCACTAAAATTTCAAAGTGTATGTGATAAAAATAATTGTTTCTTACGTGCTAATCTCATTCAAAAGAGAGCGAGCAATTCGCGGAGCGAGTGTGATCAAATGTATGCCGCGCGTGCTACGCAGGCCGGATATAGTACGCGATCGATCGATCGTGTACATCAAAGCCGCCGCGTCACTCGTGGCCTTGAGGCTCGTTTTATGAAGTAGCCGGCCCAGGCTCTGCGACTGTTTCATGTGGTAGGAAACGTAGGTACGAACTGTTTCCCTTCTCGCCAACGAAGTTCTGTTTATAATACATATATACATAACCATAAAAGGTGGTGTCGCGAGCTGCCTTTTTCGGTGACCTTTGAAAACGATAAAAAAATTAATGTTGCGCGATCGCGCCCTAGCTCGTAGGGTGTTAAGCCTAGGACACACTGCGCGATTTTCTACGCTGGCCGCTTGCGATCGATAAATACGGTGCCGGGTCCGCGCGGTGTGTCCGGTCTCACGGCAGCATATTTCGCTCGCGATACCACCGTACCCCCGGCACCGTATTTATCGATCGGCGGATCGCAAGCGGCCAATGATGATTATGATAATGACAGTGCAAGATATACTCCCTGCAGTGTACTGTAATAATTATGCTCTGTAACAATTCTGTTCTGTATGTGTCTCATAATGCAATTTTATGCCTTGTAGGTTGTGAAAATTCTAAAACTTCCTCAACCCCCTGACCAGGCTTTGCCCTGGACCTGACCGCTCCCCCCCCCCTGCTGGACCCCGGCTATTTTCAGCTGAAAACACAAATTGTCATTCCCATCCCTGAAAATAATGCATATATATATATATCAAGAGCTAATAATACCTAGAGTGTACAACGGAAAAACGGGAAAATAGTGCTATTTCACGACAACATTATTCTACTTTGCCTGCGAGTCTATAAATCATTCGATGTGTATGTGCCATTAAGCAGAATTCTTTGCTCTCTAAAACAAGACCAACCGCTTGTCAATACGATACTCCTAGGCGGAGATATCGGCTCCTAACCCTCCTCCCACAATGCAAACGCCACCTCGAATCCACTTCTGTCCCCATCCTTCACGCGCGCTAAAGAGTTGCTTCGTGAGAGTTCGGTTTTTCCGCCATAATTTTATGAATGATTTTCGGGTGCAGGTGCAGGGTGGAGGTGACTTTCGGGGCATCGCCTATGCCCTTATCTCCCATTATCTTTCCTAGCACGGCTAATGCCGCGTCATGATGGAGCCGGCAATGTTTTTTTAATCAAGTCTCTACAACGCAGCTAGTAAGAGTACCAAATTTGGGCATGTGACATCAATTATCAGCGCTCCAAGCGGTGACGGAAACCGATAGCCGAATTGCTTAGACGCGTGAAGGATGGGACAGAGTGGATTCGAGGCGGCATTTGGCATGTGAGAGGGGAGGTTTAGGAGCCGATATCTCCGCCTAGGAGTATCGTATTGACAAGCGGTTGGTCTTGTTTTAGAGAGCAAAGAATTCTGCTTAATGCAATACATGAATTATTATAGACTCGCAGGCAAAGTAGAATAATGTTGTCGTGAATAGCACTATTTCCCGTTTTTCCGTTGTACACTCTAGGTATTATTAGCTCTTGATATATATAAATAATGCTTTATAAACCGCAGCGATGGCTCAATGGTAGAGTGCTCGCCTCGCATGCGGAAGGTCGTGGGTTCAAATCCGGCCGGGTCATACCAAAGACTTGAAAAATGGTACACACTGCTTCTCTGCTTAGCACTCAGCAAAAAGAGATAGAGTGTGGGAAAACTTCCCGTCACGGGTTGATGTTAGTAAGGGCATACAGTCGTAAAAATCTGCTTCAAATAAATTGTGCAATAAGAACTGCCAAAAACTGGACCGAGCCAAATTCCTGGAGTGGGTTTCATGTGGATTTAAAACCCTTGAGTCCAGTATAAAATAAAGTAACCGAACAAACAAAAACAAAATATCCATGTGCGCGCGTGCACTGTTTCGGATCCGAAGCGAAACTGCCAGCGTTCGAAAGTTTGTGTGCGAAAGTATGCGAGATGCAGTCACATATTTTGGAACAGTCCATTTTCATAAGGGGGTATATAAATATAATTGCACTTTTGTGAGTTCAAACCATACTTCAGAATTCGGAATGAGATTTCCTGTGACCAAGGTTGTCTATTGTGGGGTATGAGAGTTATAATCCCACCGAAATTCCGTGTAACATTGGTTCGAGAACTGCATCATGAGCACCTTGGCATTGTCAGAACCAAGGCCCTCGCTAGGAGTTACTTTTGGTTTCCCAAGCTTGATGAGAAAATCGAGGACTGATGGTGAACGAGCTGTAGTTTTTGTCAGACGCCTGAAGGCAGATCTGCCTCTGTCTCCTCTGTATCCATGGCGATACACTGACAAACCATGGTCCAGATTACTTGCTGACTTTGGAGAGTACCATCAGAAACACTATCCAGAGAGACATGATACAAGTGCGTGGCAACAGCTTGTGCTGTAGATCCTGAGCGTCTGCGCGCGATGAGACGCGCAGTTCCGCGGGATATGCGCACGCGACCGCGGGAATGTTCAAGTATGAAGCGCTGCGCCAGTGGAGACGTGCGCGCAAATTCGAGGCCGGCGCACGTCTCCACAGCGGTCAGCGGATGGTCTGTCGTTTTAGAAGATGACAATGATTATATATTGACGATATTGTAGGAATTGGAGATTATAAAACCGTAACAAAAATTGGTCAGTCATTCTCCAGATTAGCTGAATCAAAAGATTCGAATTTAATATGAACAAAACAAACAATGGTTAAACACATTCAACAAACAGAAGAAAATAGAGAATTTAATAGGCACCAAGTATTAAAGAAATGCACCAAATATTCATACCTAGGGATTTAATTAATGATATAGGAGGTTATAACGTAATGATTAAGAGTCCGACTTAAAATGTAGGTTCATGATGAGGAAATTTATCGTGGGCAGAGAGCAAAATTATGGAAATCATACTATAGAAGCAAGAGTAAAATTATACGAATGCACAGTTTGACCTTCCTTCCTAAATAACAGTGAAAGATGGACTAACTTAACTAAGGAAGAAGTAAAAATGGGAGGGTTTCCAAAATGAGTGCCTGCGCAAAATAATAATCACGCAGAAAACCTACCGAAAGGCATTAAAAGACGATGAAAACTCCAAGGAAAGATACGGAGAAATCAGTAAAAATAACATATAGTTTCTATACGTAAATTGTGGTAAATACATATAAAAACGCATTATTTTATTGAAAATTCCCATATTTACTTATAAAACATCCAAGAGATGGCGCTGTGGCATGTAAACATTATCTCGGATTTGGCTCCGAACATTAATTGTGTTTTATTGAATTGTTTAATGAATGACGCACTCGTTCACTTCCGACAGCAAGTAAAAATGCAGAACATTTTCCTGTTCGATTCGAAATACATCGGCCGGGCATTTCATTATTTACAAAAAGAAAACAGGCTGGGGAAAGGAACCGGTCACGTCGGTGACGCCCCATTCATGCCCATCAACGAAGAAGGCGGGGCTTATTCTTATTACGGAGATGCCAAAATGCAACAAAAGTACGTAGCTTAGTGCGCTAAACGACGTGTTATTTTCGTTTTTGTGCCAAACTCTATCGTAGAAAACCGTTCTAGCCTAGCAGAATGCCCTAGTTCGTGAGATCGGCGATTCCGTGTCGCAATAGGTATTAGAGCTGGAAGTCAGTGTATAAAGGGGCGGCGTAGACTGTGATTGGAAGACACAAAGTGTCAATCCTCGGCGAGCGCCTCGGGATCATGGCCGCGTAAAGACTAGTTGTAGTGGATAGTTACTCGAAATGGCCAGAAAGTGGTGAAGATGAAGACCACTATCGCAGAAAAGACTATAGAGGCATTCCGAAGCATATTCTGTATTCAAGGAATATCTGAGAAGCTCGTTACGGACAATGGTCCGCCCTATACATCTGAGGAATTCGAGAGATTCTGTGCTAGCAATGGCATCGAGCACATTCTGTCTCCACCATACCACCCTGCTACAAATGGGCAAGCGGAGAACGCTGTGAAAACTGTGAAAAATGCGCTGAAGAAGCATTTTCTTGACGATGAACAGTGGATTGTCCGATAGTCATAAGTTAGCCAACTTCCTGCTCACTTACAGATGCACGCCGCATTCTGTCACTGGTGTCACACCACACAAAAGTGGGCGGGGTCTATTTTTATCCTCCAATCACAGGTCGGAGCAATTCCTCTGTTTAGACGCATGTGTTGTCGAGTATGGCAACCATTACCATGTAACGTTTCCTTGTCTGGTTTTTTGACCTCCGCGAGGAATATGCAACACTCGCCGCGGTAGCTAGTGACTGTGCTTAATTTAACGACGCAGGGATTTACATATATGTAGTCTGCACGCGAACTTACCAGGTTTACTACGACTACGAGACTCCACCAACACATAAATATGTTGTCGGAAAACATGTGTTTGACAGATAGATGGGCAACAAGTGTCCTAACGCATGCAATAGCAATGGCGAAGTAATGAGACATGGAACAAGTCTATATAGGTATTATTTTTAGCAACTACATTTTCAATAGACGGTCTCCCTGTCTTGTCACTTTGTTTCTATACACTAATTGAAGAGATGTTGGGAACATCTACACTCTTTCGTAATGTGCCACGTGATTATATTTACTATATATAAACAGATAGTGCTGCCCTCTAACATACCATATTGGTGAAAATGGCTGCCTCGCCCAGTAATCAGTCAACTTTGAAAAAAGAGGACAAGAAAGATGAGAGCTTTTTTGACAAGTTTACAACGTTAGGAAAAAAGAAAAAGATCAAGGAAGGTATGATCCCTTAGATCTGAGTACAATATATGTATCTCTAAAACGGCATTTCTGTGTGGCAAGCCCGTTGTTTTATTGTTTATTTTCACCCACTACCACACAGAGCCAGAGGCACTTGGAACGTCTCAATAAAAAAAAAAGGTAAATAAACACGAAATGTATTTACTACCAAAGTCTTAATGTTTCTCTACTCTATGTCGCCTATTATTGCCGATAATTACCCGTAAATGCCGGTCAAATGCTCATCTGCAACACACGACACAAGTACACCGCACGCCCGCACTGGCCACAGGCACTTGAAGCATATCAACTGTAAGCGCACGACGCCGCCATTGCGCGTACACTAATACATAGATATAAGAGCAGGTGCGAAAGCGTGCGCCAGGAATTCGCTCGACGCTCGCTTGTCTACACACGATTACAACAGAAATACTCAACCTTACGACTCCATCTTTGCTCCTAATTGAAGTACAGTGTGATAACGTGTTCCTTGTCTGGTTTTTTGACCTCGCCGCAGCGAGAATATGCAACACCGCGCGCGTAGCTAGTGACTGTGCTTAATTTAACGACGCAGGGATTTACATATATGTAGTCTGCCCACGCGAACTTACCAGGTTTACTACGACTACGAGACTCCAACACAAAATATGTTGTCGGAAAACATGTGTTTGACAGATAGATGGCAACAAGTGTCCTAACGCATGGCAATAGCAATGGCGAAGTAATGAGACATGGAACAAGTCTATATAGGTATTATTTTTAGCAACTACATTTTCAATAGACGTCTCCCTGTCTTGTCACTTTGTTTCTATACACTAATTGAAGAGATGTTGGAACATCTACACTCTTTCGTAATGTGCCACGTGATTATATTTACTATATTAAACAGATAGTGCTGCCCTCTAACATACCATATTGGTGAAAATGGCTGCCTCGCCCAGTAATCAGTCAACTTTGAAAAAAGAGGACAAGAAAGATGAGAGCTTTTTTGACACAGTTTACCAACGTTAGGAAAAAAGAAAAGATCAAGGAAGTATGATCCCTTAGATCTGAGTACAATATATGTATCTCTAAAACGGCATTTCTGTGTGGCAAGCCCGTTGTTTTATTGTTTATTTTCACCACTACCACACAGAGCCAGAGGCACTTGGAACGTCTCAATAAAAAAAAAGGTAAATTAAAACACGAAATGTATTTACTACAAAGTCGTTAATGTTTTCTCTACTCCTATGTCGCCTATTATTGCGCCGATAATTACCCGTAAATGCCGGTCAAATGCTCACTGCCAACACACGACACAAGTACACCGCACGCCCGCACTGGCCACAGGCACTTGAAGCATATCAACTGTAAGCGCACGACGCCGCCATTGCGCGTACACTAATACATAGATATAAGAGCGGTGCGAAAGCGTGCGCCCAGGAATTCGCTCGACGCTCGCTTGCTCTACACACGATTAACAGAAATACTCAACCTTACGACTCCATCTTTGCTCCTAATTGAAGTTACAGTGCTTACTTGTTGTGAAATATCATGTCTCACTTCGCCAGCCAGAGCTGTGTCACGGCAAAATCACGAATTAAATCATGAAATTCTCGCCGGCGATCTCTAGCCGTGCTGCGCGATTGGAACACATTCCATTGCCGAAAGCAACGTTGTGGTTACCCAAGATGCAGTGCGCCGCTTCCGCCATGTACTTAAATGTTTCCAATCGCCGCCAAGCAATCTAAGCAGATCGCGAGAATTTCATGATCTAATTCGTGATTTTGCGTGACACAGCTCTGCTGCCGCAAGTGAGACATGATATTTCTACAACAAGTAAGCACTGTACTCAATTAGGAGCAAAGATGGAGTCGTAAGGTTGAGTATTTGTGTTGAAATCCGTCGTGAAATCAGCGAGCGTCGAGCGAATTCCTGGCGCACGCTTTCGCACCTGCTCTTATATCTATGTATTAGTGTACGCGCAATGGCGGCGCGTGCCGCTTACAGTTGATAATGCTTCAGTGACTGTGC